GTTTCTAATCTGTCTATCTTTATATTGATCTCTTCTTCCGTAATCTCTTTATTTAGTTTATTTACCTGTGACTCTGTTATTTTATTCAATTTTGCTGATCTAATATATTTTTTTATTATTTCTGAAGGAGTGATAACTGAAAGACTATATAGATTGGCATAGTACTCATTGAATGCTTTCCCTATCTGTTCTGGTAGAAGGGAGATGTTGTCGTTAAAGATTATTTTATCGACCTTATTGGTCGTATTTCTTTTTTTCAACATATTAGACATTATTTTATCAGCTCTGTTAGATTTATGGTAATATTTAACTTTAAGTTTATGCATATTTATTTTAATTTTTTCATAAGTTTTTTCCTGAATCTCAGATTTAATTTTCTCTATTTTTAACTGAGTATCCTTAGTTGGATTTTCGTTATTTTTTTTATTTAGTTTATATAATTCAATATAAAGATCTTGTATATTTGCACCTTTTTTTTTTTCTTTAATTTATTAAGCATTATGCAATGTCCCCTTATTACTGCTTTATATGAGCACCATAGAATGTCATTCTCCACAAGTCCATTATTATTTTCCTCAAAATAACAAAAGGTCATTTTATCTATATAGTCTTTATATTCCTTATTTGATAATAATGAATCATCTAACCTCCAGGTTGTAGTTTCATTACTCTTTGATTTATTACTGTTTAGTTCCAGACACACGCTATTATGATCTGACCATACTACTGGTTTAATTTCTATTTTATATGTTCTGTCTATTAGTTTTAAATCTCCAAATATAAGATCTATCCGCGAGTATGAATCATGGGGCCAGGAGTAAAACGTAAATTCTTTCGCTGCAGGATTGTTGAGTCTCCATATGTCAAATAGGCCTTCTCTTTTCATCAAATTATTAAAAGTCCTTGCATTTTTAAAAACTTGTTTGTCCCAAATCAGATGTTTTTCAGAGAACTTATCTAATAGGGGATCTTGTATACTATTAAAGTCCCCTGCATATATCTTTATTCCTACACCTACTTTCTCAACCTTATTAATTACTTTTCTCAATAGACATAAGGGGTTTTTATTAGGCAGATAAATATTAATTAAAGTGAAGAGTTCCTCGTTAATTGTGGCTATTAAAATAATAAATCTTCCCTCCAAATCTGTTTCCATAAATTTTATATTTATTTTTAGATCTTTTGCAAAAAATATTGCAACTCCTCCCTTTTTCCCCTCCTATCTAGAGGAACAGAATTTTAAAGGATAAAAGCTGCTGGTCCATCTCTTTTCATCCTGTTTACACCAATGTGTCTCTTGGACCATAGCAATTTGAACATGTTCCTTTTTTAAATATTCTTGAAAAGCTTGTCTTTTTTGCGGAATATTTAGGCCTTGAATATTTAGCGTTATTATTTTAACCATTGTCATATATTATTTTCTTGTTTGGATAGTCTAGTGAACTCTCTAAAACAAAAAAAAAACAAAAAAATAAACAATTCACATTACAATACATACACGAAACACCTTCAAGTATACTAAGTACTTGTAGTCTGTTTCCTATCATTCCATAGACCCTAAAAAGAGTCAAAAAACATTTTTCTTGGTGGGTTTTAATACCCACTTTTAACCGTTTTACAGGTTACGGCGAGGAAGACTATTTCTCGTTTTGGAGGAGCCAAATATATATTATCTTTAACGTTCCCTACTTCCTCTTTCTTCTGCTCTATGAAGAGTTATACTACCACCCTTCTCTTCTCTTCCTCCTCTAAAGCGAGGAGAAAAAAGGAGGGGGAGACGAAGAGGAGAGAAAAAAAAAAAAGTAAACTAATTTTTGTCTGTATCACATTCTTTGATCCCTTTATTTCATTTATTTTACTACTCTTATCCATTTATATATATCATGATAGCAAAGCGAAGGAGAGAGAAGAGAAAGAAAAAAAAACAAAAAAAAAAAACACACACTTTACTTATTAAGTGCCCCTCTTTCCCTTTATTCTTTTTTTCCATTGTTATATACGTGTTCCTATAATTTGTTCTCAGAACGATTATTAATTATCAATCCTCCTTCATTCTATTTCTTTCTATTACCCATTTTTCCCCTTTTTCTTTCCTTACTTCTTCCTTTCTTCTATATTCTATACAATATTTGTGTTTATTATTTATAATAAAAAACTTTCCCTTTTTCGTTCCCTCGTCTTGTGCCCACTTTAAATAGTTTGATTTGTATTCACCTTTTATATTTATAAAGTGAAACCTTACATTTCCTATTATCCCCTATTGTTATCAAAAGAGAAAAAAAAATAAAAAAAAAATTATATATTTTCTTTTTTTTTTTTCTACCAAATTGTATCTTTTTCAGTGCCAACTCTTATATCTACTTAATTTACCATTGTGCAGCAGTTATTCTATATTTACCGCTTTCTCCTCAAAAATTTAATGTGAAATACATACTTCCAACTAATTTCCTCAAGTGTTTCTTATGAGTGAATCACATTACTACCATATACGTGTTTTCTATTAACCTATGGATTCCCTCTCTATATACCTTCTCCTTCATTGGTAACAATTTCTTCGCTATATCTTCTACATGTTGATTCAATGTCCTTTCTATTGTTCTAATTTTCTTTGGATCAATTTATTTCTGCTTATACTATTAAATCTTCAAACAACTTTTTCTTTTCTTTTCTTTCTCCTCCTTCATCCGCCATTATTTTTTTCGCTTCTTCCCCTTCCCCCTCTTCTTCATCCACTTATATAAAGTCATTTCTCTTTCTTCCTTAACCATTCTTCAATCTGAGATGGAGTCGTGAATATCTCACGTCTTCCGTCTGTAATTATCTTTATTTTACTGGGGTAGATCCATGAATATTTTATATTTAGTCTTCTTAGTGAACCAGTAACCGTCATAAATTTCTTTCTTTGTTGTCTGGTGTAGAAAGAAAAATCTTGAAAAATCTTAATATCACCAAGCTTTTCTGTATTAGACTGATTTGTTCGAGCTGCCTATAGTATAGCTTCCTTAAATTGATGGGACTGCAAATTAATTATTATATCTCTCGGTAGGTGTTGAGAAACCGAACTAGGTTTGCTTAAACGATGGTATCGTTCCATTTTGGTATTTAGAATTGACACTTCTATATTGAGTGTTGCCCATAAAGTATCCAAATACTCAGGTATTTTATCTTGTGTAATTGCTTCTGGAACATTTCTTATTCTTAGGTTGTTTCTTCTTAAACGATCTTCCAAATCTCCTAGTTTTCCTTCTATTTGTCTCATTTGATTATACAGCTGCTCATTTTGTTCTTAGTTTGCTCTGCTTTCGTATTCCAAAGCTGTGATTTTTTCTTCACTTTGCTTTAGTTTTTCCAATATTTCCAGAAACTGTTTTTTTGTTTCTGCTGTGTTTTTATTAAATTCAGCAGTTATTGCCACCAATTGTTCTTCTAAACAGTGTTTTAGAAAATCTGTTGTAATATAATTTTCTGTTTGACTGGAAGGACTTTGAATAAAATCTTCACTTTTTGATGAATACATAATTGAGCTTTCAAGATTTTTTTCTACATTAGATTTTTTTTCCAGGTGAAAAGAAACTTGAGGGGTTTTTACTTTTTTCTGTTTGTTGATCCTGCTTTGCTGCTTTCTTGATGGCAGCTTTTCCTGATAACTTGGTAGCCATATCTTTTTATCTTTTTTTCTTCTTCCTCACTCCCCTTATTTCTTCTCCTTTTCCTTCAATAAGAAGTTATTCAGTGTTCGCTTTTTCCTCTTTTTTTTCCCACTTCCTTTCCCCTCTCCCTCTCCTTTCTCTCTCCTCTCTCTCTTCTCTCTCTTTTGTTTTATAGAGATTTTATTTATAATTATTCTTTATATTTGTTTATCTACTGCCAGTTTATCTTTTTCTCATCTCAGCATATACATCAGGATAAATAGAAATAGGGGAGGGTGGAAGTACTTAACTTATCTTCAGTTCGTTCTCCTCACATAAAACTCTTCAGATAGCGTTTCCATATCACTTCATATAAGTAGGTTTACGATCAAATTCTTGTCGACTTACTACCGGAAGCAGAGACTGCAGAGGTTTACTGCTCACAACACTTGGAGTCTTGTCAGCCTTTTTGTCAGCCTTTTTAGCACCGTTCCTGCCTCGTATATCGGCAGAACGCCGCTTCCTCCTCCATCGCTGAGACGCCTCCTCGCCTCAGGATGCGTACATGCGTACGTGCGTGCGTACCTCCGCCCACCTCTACGTCATCACGCAAACCCTCCTCCAACACATCCGGGAATTTAATTTTCTAGCACTATATTTAACCCTGTAACTTTCCAAGACTTTACTCAGAAGACTTCGCTGAACACAAATATTAGTGTTTCAAAACAGTAAAATGTATTACAACGACGATATTGTCAGTAAAAGTGATTTTTTTTTGCATTTTTCACACAGAAATGGCACTTACACGGATAATATAATTGTTGTGATACATTTTACTGTTTTGAAACACAAATATTTGTGTTCAGCGAAGTCTCCCAAATATAACAGTACCCCTTGTGTACAGGTTTTTGGGTGTTTTAAAAAGTTACAGAGTCAAATATAAGGCTTGTGTTTCAGTTTTTTCACTTTGAAATTCGCCAGGTTGGTTATGTTGCCTTTGAGACCGTACGGTAGCCCAGGAATAAAAATTACCCCCATGATGGCATACCATTTGCAATAGTAGACAACCCAAGGTATTGCAAATGAGGTATGTCCAGTCTTTTCTAGTGGCCACTTAGTCACAAACACTGGCCAAAATTGGCGTTCAAATTAGTTTTTTGCATTTTTCACACACAAACAAATATTAACACTAACCTTGGCCAGTGTTTGTGACCAAGTGGCTACTAGAAAAGACTGGACATACCCAATTTGCAATACCTTGGGTTGTCTACTTTTGCAAATGGTATGCCGTCATGGGGGTAATTCTTATTCCTGGGCTACCATACAATCTCAAAGGCAACGTAACCAATATGGCGAATTTCAATGTGAAAAAGTTGAAAAATTTAACATGCTATATTTGACCCTGTAACTTCCCAAAACACCATAAAACCTGGACACAGGGGGTACTGTTTTACATGTGGGACATCGCTGAATACAAATATGTGTATTTTATTGCAGTAAAAGCAAACAGTATTATGACATTCACAGTTAAAATGTCACATAGAACTAAAAATGTTTTTAATAAATTCTTATTTTCTCCCATTTTTTTAATTTTATTCATATTAAATTATGTGTCATACCTTAATATTTTATGTTAAATGAAAGCCCTGTTTCCCTTGAATAAAATGATATATAATAAGTGTGGGTGCACGTAATATGAAAGAGGCGAATTACTCCTGAACAGACAGATAGCGCAAATTCAAGTTTTTATTTACGTTTTGTTTTGACCACAACGTGTACATTTGGCTCAGTCCTTAAGGGGTTAAAGCCACAGGCAGGTTTATTGGATCAAAATGGCTAAGCAATGTTTCGACCTGCTAAGAGGTCTTTATCAAGCTTGATATTGAGCTTTATCAAGCTTGATAAAGACCTCTTAGCATGTCGAAACATTGCTTTTGCTTTTTTGATCCAATAAACCTGCTTGTGGCTTAAAGGACCACTATAGTGCCATGAAAACATACTCGTTTTCCTGGCACTATAGTGCCCTGAGGGTGCCCCCACCCTCAGGGACCCCCTCCCGCCGGACTCTGAGGAGATGAAGGGATTAAACTTACCTCTTTCTCCAGCGCCGGACGGGCAGCTCTCCTCCTCCTCTCTGCCTCCTCTTCGGCTGAATGCGCATGCGCGGCAGGAGCCGCGTGTGCATTCAGCCAGTCCATAGGACGCTGGCATCTTCTCAGTGTGATTTTCACAGTGAGAAGCACGCAAGCGCCTCTAGCGGCTGTCAAGAGACAGCCACTGGAGGCTGGATTAACCCTAATATAAACATAGCAGTTTAACCCTAGCTGGACCTGGCAACCAGACCACTTCATTAAGCTGAAGTGGTCTGAGTGCCTATAGTGGTCCTTTAATTTCTGTGAGTGCCTGGTGATTTTTTTCTTTTTTCTGTTACATTCTGTATTCTGGATTTGCGGGTCCTGCTTCAGTGCACATGTTATTAAGTGGATTTGAGCTTTCGATTCACTGTGAATATTGTATTGTGATTGCTTTGAAAATTGTTGTACAATTCTGGCAAAAGTCAGAAAATGCTATAGATCGTTTACTGAAGTCCAATAGTAATTTACCTGTTGGTTAATAATGACCAAGAGATAAGAGTTGAAGAATGCCTAAGGGATATGTATATGGATAGTCTGGAAGAGATGTAAGACAAATGATGAGTGCTATTTATTGGAATGTGGAGAGGTATTTGCAAAGTCTTTCAGACCAAGTCTAACAGACATTTTAAGTATTTTTGGATTACCATAGTCTAACTGGTTACAGGGCCCCTTAACATATATTTATTTATAATCAAAATTTTAGTGTTTTAAATAAATTTAGTAGAATATGATGAGAGTTGGAATTACAATATCTAGCACTCTAACATATGTAGACCCTAATAATTAGAAAACAAAATTAACAACAAACAAACAAAACCATATTTACTCTATAATTACCATACTCGGTTTCAAACAAAGTGTACATAGTTCAATCAGGTTAAAGTGGAGGCCTCACAAAAAGGATTTGTAAAGAGTACTAGCAAGTACACTGAGAACTTTTACAAATAAGATTGTCATGTCCATAGCAGGTCAGAGAGGAGACGATTGCAAGGGTTATTGGTGAAAACTTTGTCGTATTACACATAACAAATTTACTGAAAATAAAGAATAAAGGGCAGTCTGCCACAAACAGGATACTTTATGAGAAAAACAGGGTTTAGGCGATATGCCACAAACAAGATCTTTAGAAAGTAAATGAATAAAGTATTTTGTATACAAGCAAGCTTGAAGTTATACCAAGTAGTCAAGGATTTCCAGGATACTTTGCAATGCAGCTAGTTATAGGTAAATACCTTTTAGGATAAGGCAATACAGGATCATGCAGAGTTGCAGAGGTTGAAACAGGTAGGTATATTCCAAAATAATATAATGCAGGTTACTTATGAGATCATGCAGTGATGCAGCAATTGAAGCAGTTAAGATTCTTCAATGAAGGCAATACGCCACAAATCAGGATTCTTGGAAGCTGATAAGGAAAGTCTTTCGGTAGATGAAATTCAGGCAAGTTCAGGATGAAGTAATGCAGGTTAGTGCCTTTCAGTATAAGGAAATGCAGATGAGTACAGAATGAGGCACTGCAGGTAAGTTCTCTACAGAATGAAATGATGTAGATAAAATACAGAATATTACCAGGAACAGAGATTCTTTATCAGAGCATAGACTTCAATGTCAAGGCCTTGTTGTGTGCCCAGGAGTAGACTTATCAAGCCTCCTCATTAGTTAATCCAGGTGAGGTTATTAAGGTGAGTGAATAGATTAGTGGCTAGGGAGGCCACAAGAGGAGAAAATCATGAAGTTCACTTAACCCCTTAACGCCGTTACGGCGTTTTATGCCGTTGTGGCTTTAATGGGCTTTAAAGCCGTTGCGGCGGCATAGAACGCCGTAACGGCTTTCAGCCCCAGAGGACCGGCGGTACTCACCTCCGCCGCGATCCTCTTCTGGAGGGCTGCCAGACCAACCAGGCAGCCCTCCTCCGGTGAATGAGGCCCCCGGGGGCCATGTGATCGCTCTCAAAGAGCGATCACATGGCCCCCTATAGCTGGCTATGGATCTGCCAGCAGGGGGACTGTCTGAAATAGCAGACAATCCCCCTGCTGGTGGAAAGTGTAAAAAAAAATAAAAAATAAACATGTTGAAATAAAATAAATATATTTATATATTTATATATATATATATATATATATATATATATATATATAATATATGTATATATATTATATATATAATATATATGCATATTATATACATATAACGTCATACGTAATGTATTTTAATATTAATATAAGTATATATTAATACTAAAATACACTTAGAATGACGTTACATATATATAATATGTATATATATATTATATATATATATAATAGATATATACACATATATTATATATATATATATACGTATAATTACAATAATAAATAAATTAAATAATAAAATAAATAAATAAAATATTGAAACAAAATTTAATATAAATTATATATTCATTTGTAATTTCATTCTAACTGTATTTTGTTATTAATATATATATAGGTAACAAAATACACTTAGAATGACATTCTATATATATCTATCTATATATAAAATACAAATAACCGCGAATAAATAAAGATAAATACATATAATTACATAAAAGATTACATTAGTATACACGTAGAATTTAAATACCTATAAATGCATATATATTTAAATTCTACATGTATATTTAAGTAATCTTTTAACATAATTATGTGATTTGGTTAATTAACATTTGATTGACATGCCTGACAACTAAGGGAGAAAGTGCAAAGAATTTAATTCGCAAGCACTATATTTGACCCTGTAACTCTCCAAGACTCCATAAAACCTGTACATAGGGGGTACTTTTCTACTCGGGAGACTTTGCTGAACTCAAATATTAGTTTTTAAAACTGGTAAATTGTATTACAACGATGATATTTTAAGTTTTTTGCATTTTTTACAAACGAACGTCATGTTTATGGACTATATTATTGTTCTAATATTCTTTACTGTTTTAAAACACTAATATTTGTGTTTAGTGAAGTCTCCTGAGAATAAC